CAAGCCACCTCGGCATATTTGCGGATAGAGCTTTTATTAGAAAGGAAAAGGACATATGGATACGAGTTAGGAGTAACTGTCCACCACTGTAACTAGCTACTACAGTAAAAAAATGCAACAACTAGGCACAAAACTGACAGAGTGCTGAGACATTCGACGACCTGACTCCTAGCTTCAACACATCTCCGTAGCGCTAACCAACAGCCTTCCAACTTGGAAGGTTCAAGGTTAAAAGGAGAGACCAAAGAGGGGAAGGTAAGCGCAACGAAAATGAGCACAAGCTAGTAGTTGAAGCTACAGTCCCACAAGAACAAGAAATGTTGATTGTTACTGGACGATGACGAAACCAGTATTACCTTTCCCTCTTTGGTCTCTCCTTAACACTACGGAGATGTGTTGAAGCCAGGAGTCGGGTCGTCAAATGTTTTAGTGCCTGGTTGTTGCACTTTCTGACTGTATTTAGTATATAGTGACAGTTACTCTACACTCATATCCATACGTCCTTTTCCTTTCTACATTAATTTTATTATTGCCATATTGGCTCAACATCCGAGTTTCAAAGAGCTTTTAGTGGACGACTTAATCCATTTTCGGCAATACTTACAACGATCCAATCAGTCATATTGTAGATCAGGCTATGCTGTGGGTAAGTATACTACTGGCCTTGTATGGCTTATTGTTTGCCAGCGAGTATTTAGCATCATCTACTAGTATTCACTCGTTTGACAGCCAAAGAGTATTTGTGTGGGAGGCTGGGAGTCTCGCACCTGACTTGGTCACGTTGCGCCTGAAGGTCACTAAGACGCGGCCATATACGGTGGAGCCGTCGCAGTTCCATCTACTGTCGACCAAACATGCCCGGTATTGGCTATTCCGGTACATGACAGCCCATGCCTGTAGCACCAAGCCTGTGTTCACTTTTGCCAAAGGGATCCACCTTACTCGGCCTTATTTAAATAAGATACTCTGTCACGCTCTCAACTGTTATCAGGTTAGCTCCTGCTCCATGCCCATTGTTGGAGCGACAGTCCTGGAATCCAGAGTTGCAAGTGAGGTGGTGATACGGCAAGCAGACGGTGGCAAAGTACGGCTTAAAAGCTCTACATCTGGCAAGTGGCCGGCATACCACCCCAATGGACATCGGAACAGTACACGTAGAGTAGCATCTCTACGTGACAGGGTATGAGCGCAAGTGAGTTCTTATGCTCTACTAATGTGCATTGATACTGTGACTATAGTTGCAGGGAATTTTCTAGAACCGCCCCAACCGGTTTTCGACCGGTTGAAATAGTTGGCGACCGGTTGAAAAGTTACAAATCAGTTCCAACCGCCCGTACTTTTCTGTGGGTGAATGGAGCTGTGAATGGTCATACGCTTTTTTCTGGATGGATACTTCCAGCGAAGCCGCGTGGGCTGGTACTAGGGTCACGAGTTTGTACGGTTTGTACGGTCGAACCACGTCATCGAGCTGTAGCAACGGCGTTGCTACAGTCCAACAGCTCCGCGCGACACTCCAGCACCAAGAAATCTGTTAAATTGCTGTCGAGTGCCATATTTGGGTTGTATTTTGAAAACTATTTCCGGAGGGGGACCCCCCGACTCTTCATTGTACCGTAACCGGTTGGAAATTCGTCCTAGAATATACCCTGAGTTGGTGTACAGATCTCATCACATGAGCCTTAGGCGGGATTTCCTATTGTCACTGGAAAATTCAGCCCTAACAAACAGTGTGATGGATGAATTTGACTCCAGGTATCTGCTTTTGGGAATGCCATGTATGCATGTCTGGCGTGCTGCTGCTATAATGTTGTGGCAGCAGCATTTTGGTGCGATGGACTGTTCTTGTAACGGTGTACCTACCCATTTGCTGTTGCCGGATGCCGTGTTTTGTCAGTTGTGCCTGTTTGAAGGTGCCAGGCCAGCTTGTGTTGGTGCGTTCCCGTTAAGTTGCCAGGGCACCATATTTGTAACGGCGTTCCCGTTTTGCTGTTGTGGGGCTGTGTTTGTATCGGTGTGTTCCCGTTGAAGTTGACGGGGCACCACGTTAGTGGATTGTGCCTGTTTGAAGTTGCCAGGCCAATCCTGTAACGCACACCCGTTTGCTGATAATTGGGGACATGTTTGTCCATTTTGCTCGAGATTCACATGGCTGCGCCAGTTGCCTTGTGCGGATTAGACTGTTATCTGGCACTAGTCTTGATCTGTTTTATTCAGATTCAGATCAGCTATTGTTCCTATACGAGAAAATCTGTGGGTGCACATCCAATTCATTTGCAGATTTGCGTGCTTCTCCTGCAACGGGCGTTTACATGGTACATGGTGTGTGGGCGTATGTGTGGTGTGTTCATGCTGCACAGGCCAGTATTGCCAAGCACTGGGGACCTTTGGCAATCTGAAGAATGTTTTGTCCGAGAATCGATCCTTGGATCTGTGGCGTTGCAGTTGTGGTGCTCCCGACCCTCTTGCGCGATGGCCGCGGAGACCTAGCGAAAAGGTTCGAGACATACGGCATCTCAATATCTTCCACCACAATCAGTACATCAGCACCACCATCGAGTGTAGCGACATCAGCAATAGAAGACGCACATGATATCATCCACCCTTACGGCCTTAGCAAAGACCCGGGAATACCTGAGAAGATGTTAGCCGCAACTTTACTGGAAAAGTCGTCGGTGACAACGGCACTCCATATTTTAGCTGCATGCAGTTAGGTCTCTCAACAAGTGTACCCAAAGTTTTCAAGCTAATACACAAGCAAATTCACTAGGGGCCGAGTATATTTTCCTACACCTCTCCCTGTTTGTTGTTGTTATTTCTGCATTCAAATTGTTTGTGTACCTGTACATTTATTACAGTAGAGCCACGCATCCACAGCTGTTGTTTCCAAGGGGTCAGGCTCGTCAGTTATACAAAACCTTTCAGCAATCTGGCCTTAGGCTTAGTTCCTTGACTTTTTGTACCACTTTCTTAGATGCACATCCCACTGGATAGTGAGCAATACGTGTGTAGCAGAATCTGTATTCCAGAAAAGCAGAGACTCGAGTCTATTGACACTGCGTTTCTTTTTAAAACGTTATTGGCTGTGGTGTACCTAGAGGTATACACGTACATTCCTGGGTCCCACGTTCTGTGACGCCCGACTGTATTCGTGGTGCCTCAACAACTTTTAATTTTGTGCGCTCGGAAAAACCTGCCGGAGACTGTGAGGCTGCAGAGTGTTGGCTGTGTTTTGCTTTAAAAAACCATCAGGTCTCCCCAGATTTTCTAGTCTGGCCCTGAATTTTGCCACTCTTCGGTTTCAAAACCTAGTGTGGTGGTGGAAAGCCTAGCAGTGTTGTGTGTGCATGTGTGTATTTTGTACAGTGCTGGCCAGAGAAATCCAACCTCGTTAATAAAGTAGCGCGCGTTCGAGAGCACAGACCGGTCCAGTATGTTTACTACTAGGGCTGCGTAGCGCCCGGTGCAATTTTATTCATAAGGTTGGATTTCTTTGGCCAGCACTGTAGTTAGAAGTAGGTCCTCTAAGGTCCTCTGTTTGTGCGCAATTGTGGTCACAGTGGCAGTAGTGGGTGAGGGGGGTAGACTCAGTTACTACGAAGATGGTGTATACATGATGGTGTATACAGTCATGTAGTTGAATGTTACTTCGGGCTTAGACCCAGAGGTTCTTGAAATGATGACCCCGGGTTTATGTACATGTATCATTCAGCTACCGTTGTCATAATGGCACTAGTTGATAGAACACCTGTATAAGTACAGGCTGTACATCTAGCATTTTCCAAAATAGCACTCCGTACTTCGAGGCTGCAGCCGTTTTGCATGCAACGTTGTATGTGTTGATCGGTTGACAGCATGTGACAAAGCCGAGGACATACTAGTGTATCAGGAGCACTGTTTTTTAACACAGTGCGTCCCCCGCCTTGTCATGTTAATTTATCAAACAAGGCTTACTACCTATACCAACATTATACATGTAGGGCTGTGCATGCTTTCAAAATTCTTCCTTGTTGAAGTAGAATACCGTGCTTGTGGGGGCTTTAGTAGTTCCTTTGCCAGATGTTCTATGCGTATCTCAATGACTTATCAGTTTCAGCACTTGGGCAAGGCACATTCGGGCCTACACATGTAGCCTTGAATTCTGGCTTGGAGGCATTATTTATCTATTTTCATGGCTGCTAGGTTCATCCTTAGTTCAGAGTTATTTCTCCGTGATTCGCTAATGAGTCCACAAAGGACGAAACAGCTAGACAGTACTAGTGCTGTCCCCAGATCGTGTATTCTAAATCCATAATACTGACGCTCAATCTCCAGACAGCTGTGTCAGCCTTTTTTAGGTCCCATCAGTGGAGCTCAGAGCGGGAGGTTAAACAAATGGCAATACGGTCTATATGAAATGAACAAAAAAGCAATTTGAAAATGGCTCAAAGCATCAAAGTCAGCGAGCTATCTGCAAGACACGCACAAAGAGAGCTTTGCACGAAGGCAGATACATATTACATATACCTTTGACACTAACCAAAAAGAGTGCTCAATCAAGTCAACGCAAGGCAGCGTAATGCGGTGATCGAGTCTATAAAAAGCTATAGTGACATGTAGCCAGGCCCCCAGCACAATAAGCTGACTTGCATCATGCTAAAATCGTTCACACAAATCTCTTATAATAATTATTATATAGATTGCAGGATAGGGTGGTTGCACCAGGAAGTGCTGTCTCTGCGATAGTGGGACCAGCCAAGATTGCAGTACAGTCGTCCACCATCAATCCAGCACTTCATTGGCCCACGCCCTCGATACACCAGCATGATTTCCGGAGTTATTACCATTCATTGATACATGCCCCCCCCCCCCCCACCCCCCAGTTCTTCGGCACCTGACCCGAGTTCTATTTGGGCCGCACTACTTTGTAGCAGTCATACTATAGTACTAGAACTGGATGCACGTGATATCCACTGGAGCTGGCGCTGGCCATGAGCTGACCCACCGCCGTGCCTCCCAGTGTCAATTTTGCTTATGTGATCCTACCACAATCTGGAACATTATCAGTACTCGCCTCTGTTGACTTGCCAGCACTAGTTCTGGTGGATCCGGGCATGTTTCTGCCTTCTCTTAAGCATGTATTCTCCTGCAGGTGCATCTTTCACCTCCCTCTAATGCGCGAGCACATTTTCTGTGGAGATTCAACGACACATAGACCAGAAAATACAGAACGGAACAGTGGCTGCCAATGCGACACAAGTACCACATAGACCTAAAAACTCATAAGTACCCTGGGAGTTAGATGCATTTACGGGCAGTATGCCAGGATTTGCGCAGCTAATTTAAAATCAGATTAGCAATGCTGTGTGCTACCTAGGTGGCATCTTGGACTCAAAAACCAACCGATTGTGGTCCAACCCAACCGACAGCGTTGTCGGTGGGTTCCGATTGGCACGTGTTGGATGGACGTATGATCCATGCGTCCCCACAAGCAATGAGAAGTTAACAATGCCACTAAGGATATAATATCGCGGACAGCAGTACAATGAAACTGGGCCATTCATTATCAGCAATATCAGGGGTATATCCCATCCGATAAGACGTACAGCTCGTGTATGGCAGACTTTACAGCAGGTCCCGACATAGCTTGCCCCGTGCCCTTTACCACTCCTGGGCCAAAACTGTTGTACAATACTCGAGAGGGTCTAGCCTAGTGAGTGTGAATAGAACCTGGCAAACCATATCTCCAAGTGATTCACATGTTGGTATATTCTCCGTTATCATACATCAATTCCGAGCAATTTGACACCCGAATATTCTCGCACCACTACTGCTGAAGTATTGACCACAAACCATGTTCCATTTGACTTACAAAAGGAACTTGCAAAAGGCATGAGAGCACTGGAATCCGTAAAGACTCTCGCATTATTTATTAGCCACCATACATACCTTTCGGGAAGTCACGGCGTGTTGGAAGCAGAATGCTCGGAGAGCAGAGCTGAGTGAGATCTGCATACAGTAACACAGCGACAATGAACCACATGAACAGAAGGAAGCAGTCGTATCCGTACACATCTGAATATGCGCTTATGGGAGGAAAATCCGTGCGACAAAAGAGGACCGTGTTATGCAGGTGTACGTCTTACCCGGGTACGTACTAAGTGAGTTCCACCATACGTATATAATTTTATTGCAATTGAATCACTTGACTGACTGGAGCCAAAAATATCAATTGGCACTTACTCCGGTTACCCGAATGTTTCGGTACCACTATCATTAGGTTTTTTGCAATCGAACCAAGTCATAGTTGAGTCATTTTCAATGCGTTAGGTGTTACCTGACGTGCTCACTGCATCAGCCGCTATGTCAGATTCCACCAGGCATGCACCAAACCAGGCGCAATGCGCACACTGATGATGGTGGTTGGCACACAACGAGCAGTAGTAAAAGTGAAAGGACTTTTTGCATGTGATTTTGTTGTAATTTGTGCCAGTCGAATTGTCTCAGTGTAACTAGTTTATCGTTAGCTTACTAGTTTGTTTATACAAAAGAGAAAGACCAAGGAACTACAAGTTACGCTATACTGTCCACTAACACCACCAGTTACTAAACAATCAGCTCATGCGATAGCTATTGCACGACACTGAACAGCTCTAGCACATCTTGGATGCGCACTCCAACAGCCTTGTGGACGACGACTGTAACTGGAGAATCGGTCCGTCGCTCCACCAGCCCGGCGGCACAGTGGACAGTGCCTTGGGGGTGTCAGGCATGGATCAGGCTGATAAGGACGTGGTGGAGACGGAAATGATGTTTGCAAGGAAGAGTGATGATATGCGTATGTGCTCTCCGCCAGTTGTTGAAGCAACAGTCCGGCAGTGGAAAGTCGGCAAGGTTAAAATAAGTGACCAACTGGGTGAAAGTACACCAAATGTGGCCCATCTCTTGAATGGTGCGGACCACGGCAAGGACCTGAAGTTGAAGGTCGTCAATGGCAACACCGCATGGTCGACGTCAATGGGAACATCAAGCCATCAAGTTGGTGGAACTATGGAATGTCCGTCGCAGGCTGCAGCGACAGGGTAACGTGCTCAGGGAAGAGTACAGCGACGATGATCAGCTGTGTCTTGCACGCAGTCGTGTTGATCGTGGCGTGCAGAACAACAGAGTCAGTTGCGGTATTCGTACATTTGTCAGTTTAGGATTGTGATCCCCAGGAAGTCCTTTCGTGAGGAGTGATGTCACGCAACGAGCAGTAGTCAAAGTGAAAGGACTTCTTGCATGTGATTTTGTTGTAATTTTGTAAGGTGTGGTGGCAGAACTTTCAGCTGGTAGTGGGTGATGGGCTGTCTGTGTGACAACAATTACGGGCTTGACGAACGACATAATTATGGCGAGTCGATCTTTGGCCAGTTGCTGAGTTGGAGATCGTCACCGTAGACCCAGAGATCTGGTCCACGGTCCAGGGGTTGGGATCCCACTGTGGTGAGAGCTTGTGTGCCTGCTCATTGCGGCGTAAGACGCGCTGACCAGGAGTGAGGATGGGGGCGTTTGACCGGCGGGTGGCATTGGCAGCGTCGCGCTGGGATTGGCGGAATTGCTGGTCACGGTGGGCAGCTGAAGGTAAGTCTGGTGCGGCTGCCGTAATGCAGGGTATGCTGTCGCGGATGGGGCGACCAAACATGAGTGTTGCCGGTGCCTCGTGAGTGGCAGGGTGTGGCGTGGTGCGGTACGCTAGGAGCCATTGGTCAAATGCAACATTGATGTCTTCGCCAGCTAGTTTGGCAGTTCGCAGAACTTTGCCAATGGTACGGTTGAGGCACTCGACTGCTCCGTTTGCTTGTGGCCACAAAGGAGGGGTGTGGCGGTGCTGGATAGCGTGTGGCGCGAGGAAATCAGCAAAAGCCGAAGAACGGAACTGAGGACTGTTGTCCGAGACTAGCTCTTCGGGCAAGCCGAACATGGATAATGTAGAGCGCAGAGCTACAACACCGGCCGTAGTGGGTGTCGTGCTGAACACGTTGATGACCGGGTAGCGAGTCAACTGGTCGATAGTGGCAAGCAGGTGCTGACCGTTTGGCATGGGTCCATACAAATCGACGAAGACTCGTTGCCACGGCTTGGTGGACGGTGGTGTGGGCACGGACTCCCGGACGTAGCGGTGTCGTTGAGAGAGTTGCTTGGCACGGAATACATTGCCGGCAGAGTGCTTCGGCTTCAGTAGCCATGTTGGGCCACCCAACATTGCTGTTGAGCCGTTGCTTGGTGCGGACAATATCTTGGTGGCCCGCATGTGTAAGCTGCAGGGTAAGCCGTTGGAGGGCCGTGGGAATGACGAGACGGTCGTTGCGGAGTAGTAGACCGTCACTCTCAGACAGTTCATGGCGGAGGGCAAAGTACGGGCGGACCGTGGTGTGGCTGGAATCCCAGCGGCCAGATTGCAGAGAGGAAAGGATGGCTTGCAGTGTGGTGTCTGCGGTGGTGGCGTCCGCAATCTCCTTCAGAGCCAACGCATTCGGCTTAGCTGCTGTAGCTAGGGCATGTATGTACGCAGTGTCTTCCTGTGCGCCGATGTTTGGCAAGTCGGGATGAGGCTGCGGATTGCGACTGACGACGTCGGCCGGGTTTTCTGGGCCAGGCTTGTACTGGAGCTGGAAGCTGAGATCCTGCAGGCGGAGGACCATGCGCTCAATTCATGGTGGAGGTCTCGATCCGACGGCCTTGAGTTGCAGGAGCGGCTTGTGGTCGGTGACAACGGTGAACTGTGGATCACCTTGTCAAGTCGTGGTGAAAGCGAAGGCAGCCAAACTTGACACCCAATGCTTCCCGTTCAGTTTGAGAATATTGCTGCTCGACGCCGGAGAGTGCACGGCTGGCGAATGCTACAGGTGCATCGTGGCCGTTGTCTTGGCGTGGACACAGGATTGCGCCGAGGCCGGTGCGTCGACATACAGTGATGTGTTGCGGTCAAAGTATTGCAGCATGCAGTCTTCGGCGATGGCCTTCTTCAGTGCATCAAATGATTGCTGCTCAACATCAGTTCAACGCCAAACAGTACCTTTCTTAGTGAGAGCAGGGAGTGGCGTGGTGAGATCGGCCATGTTACGAATGTAACGGCGGAGGAAGTTGGTGAGACCCAGGAAACTCTGTATGTCGCTGACGCAAGATGGCGTAGAGAATGTAGCCACAGACTGCTGGTGGCTGGGAGAGGCGCGGATGCCCTTGTCGGAGTAGACGCTAGCCATGAACTTGAGCCGAGGCTTGAGGATGTGACATTTGTGACATTTGGCTCGGTTGAGTGTAACGTTGTGATCTTGGAGCCGCTGGAGGCAGGCGGCGAGTCGTCGGTTGTGCTCTTCGACGCTCTTACCAAAGTTGAAGATGTTGTCGTGGACGTTCTTCACACCGTCGAGGCCAGCGAGCCATGGCGTCCAGTGTGCGCTGTAGGATCTCGGATGCGGACGATACGCCCATGGGCAGACGTTTACAGTGCAAAACTGCGTAGCGACGTGACTCAGGGTGGCCTGGCTCTCCACAGCGGTAGCAGAGCGATGTGCTGGATTCCCGCCGGCCTGGAGCGCGAGTGGCGACTGGGGCAGGTGGCTGGTGGTACGAGTTTGCAGCTGGATGTGGCGAAGACTGCATTGGTCGACGCGACGGAGTTGAAACAGTAGCAGGAGGCGGCTGTGTCCTTTTGTAGAACGGTGGCTGATGACGGAGGGCATTGATCGAGTCTTGTGTGCGCCGGAACGCCGTCGTCTGTTCCACTGACGCTTCAAATGCTCTGGCGGCCTTGAGCGCCTTGGCGAGATCAAGGGACCCAGTCTCCAGCAGTTTTCTGCGGAGTGGATCGGACGTGCATCCTGCCACAATTTGATCACAGAGAGCCACGTTCTTCTGGGCATCGTCGGCGAAGCTGCAGGTCGTTGCCGATGCCAGCAAACGAGTATAAAACGTGTCTAATGTTTCGCCAGGCTGCTGGGTGACCTGCCGGAAGTGGAAGCGGGCCATGCTGGGGCTCTGCTTCGACTGAAAGTAGTCGGCGGCGGCGGTTATGAGGCCGTCGAGATCGTTGCCAGTGTTGGCTAACGTAGGGACGAGCTGCTGGATGTCCTTGCCGGCCACTTACTGGAAAGTGTCTCTCTGGCAAGTGTCATCCGAGATGCCGGCTGCTGCGACATAGAGTTGGAAACACCGTTCCCAGGCAGGAAAATGGGCAGCAGCATCGTAGAGACTGCTGTAGATCGGGAATGGCTCCGGAGGCGGTAGTGACAGTAGGGACATGGCGAGGATCAGGCGTTTGCTCGCAGCGCCAATGTAATGTTGTTCTCTTGCTGTATTCCAAACAACAACTAACTCGGAGCTCCGGAAAGCTCCGCAATAGTGAGGTTTTGCATTCCGAATTTCGGCTTGGCGTTCTTTGGTAATTTGTCGAACATCAAAATGTCGAATTTTCGCACCGACGTTTGTTTTGCAAGTCGAAAATGATGTGTTTTGATTTCGTGAGCCCCAGCATCAGCAATGTCCTGTCCCGTGCTCCTTTTCTTGCTGATTCCGACAAACTTTGATCGCGCCCAAAGAGTCGAGGGCCAAACCTGCCTCAGTCGCCTCAGAAAAACCAACTCCATGGCCAAGTCAAATTTTATGGGTATCGCCATAGTCTTTTCAGCCACACAGATGACGGTGAGGACACTCCAGGCGAAAGAGAGTAGACAGGCAGTGGAGAGGAGCAATCAGAGGTAGCTGACGATGCTGATGTCGTCAAAGACGCCTGCGAAGCCATGCCAAGATAAGAAACCTCTTTGAATAAATCACGCGCTAGCGCTCTTCCACAAGAAAATTCATCCGAAAAATATGTTCGGCAAAGTGAGCTTTTTCCGAACAAACATGCCGCATCTTCGTGTGCATTTTCGACCTCGCTCCCGCGTGCCGAATCTTTTGCCGAATTTTGGAATGCAAAACCTCACTAATATGATGCCAACAGAATGTAATGGTGTGCGTGCATGCGTACAGAGTCGGTGCGTACCGACTGTCAGCACAGGTGTGGAAAGCAGCATATGTAAATGGATAGGAGCACAAACGGTGCCGCGTGCATATATGTGTCGGTAGAGCATGAAGCTCTTAATCTCAGGGTCGTGGGTTTGAGCCCCACGTTGGGCGCCAAATGTCGTCTCGGTTGGAGAACGAGCTGCCTCTACTATACCCTCGCCACGCCACACATCAAACGGACTAGTCAAGTGGTTTTTCTCTAGAGCTAGAGAGAGAGCTATTCACTACTACACTTCAGGAGACGACGGGAGAACTGACAACTGACATGGCGAAAGGAAACATGATATCGGAAAGTGGTGCCCTCATCAGCACAAAAAGTGGCGTACTCGATATCATATCAGCACAAAAAGGTGCACGTGTCAGCAATACAACAAAGCAGCGCAGCAGCATGTACGAGTCAGCATCACAGAAACACAAATACAGCAGCAGGTACGACAAAGAGACAACACGTGCAGCCACATGTACAACATATGGGTGTGACAGTCCATATATGTACGTGTGCAGGGGCGGATCCAGACCCCAAAGCTGAGGGGTGCGAGGATGAAACTTACGTATTTTCTTTTGCAGTAGTAAACCAAAGACATAGTATGTTATGTGTGTTACTGTATAATAATTATCATAATTACACATAGCACCAAGATGAGTAGTATGATTACAGTCCGTTTCAAAAAGATTTACAACCCTGTCGATCGCCCGCGGAGTTTAGCGTCTTACCGTATGAGCACTCGAGCGCTGCCTGGAAAAACTCACTGTGAACTCGAAGAAATATTCCGCGCGAAAGCAAGAAAAATGACAACTCACTCACGTTGACACAGTCATGGACGTACGTCTGGTTTACAACAAACGAGTTCTTCCTCGTATCGATAATGGAGTCAGAGAGGACATGTCGAAACGAAAGTGTTGTAAATGTTGACGAGCTGCATGGGTCCGTTTTGTGACCAAAATAGTTTCTTTGAGCTGCGATGCAATTTACTCACCGTGTGACGAAAACGACATGGACACGGACTCATTTCCAAGGCCATGACTTGGCAAAGCTATCCGTGTGACTTTGACGACATTTTGAGAAAAGCAAACGCTTGTGAACGCTGATAGAGGACGGCGTTGACTGCTAAATTCAAACAAATTGGCGATCTTGAAATACTAAAATAAATCTCAAAAGCTACAGCGCGATGACTTCCATTATAATTCACTCACACCATTGCAGTGTTGTGGGTGTGTTCACATGGCATGAGCCAGTCAAGTGTCAGTCAGTTCGGCAGGAAGCGCGACCTCCAACAACAAGTCGTTTGGTGCAGCCACCTTTTTTGTCTTGTACCAGCTTGATCACCAAAACAATGAAAAAAAGTTTGACGTGAGGATAGGTTGGGATTTGAACTCACAACTTCATGGTCAGCAGACAGCATTCATAACCACAAGGCCAAAAAGGAAAGGATAAATCGTGGGTTTTGATAAAAAATCGATACTGGCTTCCTGGGCAAATTGTAAACCATGGGAAAAGGCCGGAAACCTGGCCGAAATTCTAACTCCTTAACGGTTGGTCCAATTGTTCCGAAACCTTCACAGAACAATTTGCCGTGTCCTAACAAGCCATTCTATGTACTTTGTTGTCCAAATTTCCCTTATCTTCATACTTTTTAAGACCCAAACCTGATTGTAAATCTTTTTGAAACAGACTATAGTTACACATTGAATGTCAAAATTTACAAGTAATTTACGACTGCTACCGGTATGATTCTCAGTCAGACACAGATTATGCTATGTACATGCTATATACACAATGTCAACTCTAGTCAGAATTCAGGGCGGCTGTTCAGTTCCTCACTCCGCATCCTGGAGAATGTTGGTCATCCTCATCTTCCGTGAGTGCTCGAGGGCGAACATGTCGACGATGTCAGTGACATCAACAGCCAAGTCGTAGCGGATGTGGAGTACTCGTAGAGCTAGCCCGGTTAGTCTACTCTGTCCCATTGTACTCCTGAACTAACTTCGAAGTGAGTTTGTTGCCGGTGAAAAAGTAACAGTTAGTTCCAAAAAAGTTCTATTCCAAATGTGCAGCCCTGGCGCGAGCACGTGTCCAGAACGATCACGTGATTGCACACAAATCATCCGGATCCGCGCAGCGAGCCTGGGCCTGGCCGGCTGGCCTGACCTTTTTTTTTTTTTTTTTTTTTTGGAAAAATCCTGACGGGTTCATTTGCACCCTTCGCACCCCCTTGGATCCGCCCCTGGTGTGAACACTACACACGATGAGAACATGCAAAGTATGGAGACCCAGACTGTGTGGTCAGCAGGACACAGCCCGTACAGGATGGAACAGACAACTAAACGTAATATAGCACCACGTACCGGCGGACTAGTCGACGCTGATGGGAGAAGTGGCACCCCCTGAGGCAGCTACGGATGCTAGAACTCTACAGCCAGACCAACACCAATATAAAACAAAAAGGTACACCACACCAGGAAGCAAGTCAAATAAAGATGTGTGAACAACAGCCACACACCACAGAAAAGCATACAGAACAAAAACTCAATTACCGACACCATAGACACTGCAAAATCCAAACAGGAGGAAAATACTAACTCCCTGAGGACACTGAGCATGAGGCAAACGGGCAAGCAACCTCTTGCCGATGTTCCACCGTGTAACAACAACCGCGCTGGCCACCGGACTGTATGGTAGGGGTATTACACCTGGACCTCAAGACCAACGGGCGAAGGACAGCAGGCCGGGCTCAGGTAAATACAATGAGGAGCACTGTATACAACTACAGAAATAACCCAAACCCATGCCAATTTGACCAACATACCTTCCCTGCGCATCCATTCCTAGTGTACGGGTCTGAAAGATGAAAGATGGAGCGCTTGTATACACGGGCCCGGAAAGCCTGCTTCGGCCGCTCGGCAGCAGCTTCGTAGTGGTGGTCAAGGGTCGAAGACCGACGGATACGGATCAACTCCCCAGTGAACACACCTTTGCCCATACTACAGGGGTGGTTACTACCGACAAGCAGATACAGGAAACGATTGGTGAACTTGAAATGAGGCTTCACCGCCATGTATCCCTTACTACGGAAAACTGTGGTGTCCAGGAAATCAATGCCATCATGTGCCAGTTCATGAGAAAACTTGAGGGCCGAACACTTATTAATCCTATCTAAAGTGCGCTGAGCTTGACCTTCGCAACCATGCAATGATAAAGCGTCTATAAACCTGAACCTCTAAACCCTCCCCCTCTAAGATCGGCAAAACGTACTGCTTCTCCAAATACAGCATAACAATGTCGGCATAGACCACTGCTGCAGGCGAACCCATGGCAGTCCCTGGCCTTGGATCTGCCGAAACACATCGTTACCATACACGAACTCATTTTTCTTCCGAATGACTGACATCAAGGAAGTCACTGCTTGTAATAACCATGTACGAAGGGCGAGGGGCATCCACCTTGTACACCTGTGTGTGATATACCACGACAACCGAGCTCGTTGGGGATGTTGGTGTAGTAAAGGCTGGTCACATCTATGCTCAATTATAAATGATCGTCCCACACAGGCAAACCTTCTACCAAGTTGATGAAATCCGCAGTTGAGGTCAGAACAGTACTTTCCTCACATACATACGGGTTCAGTAGAAAGTCAGTGAACTCAGCGGGATAGTAGCCAGGACTATTTAGATTAACAATAGGCCTAACCTTCAGGACCCAGGGCTTATGTGTTTTGAGAAGTCTCCTGAAAACGGGCATGCGCCCCCGGTGCGACTAAGAACAGTGACATAATATATTATATTAGTGGGCATACGATGCTCAATGCGATGCCTAGTCATGGTGAGTAAACAATTGACTCGGGTCGCTCACACGAAGTCTCAACACAGCCTTGAGCCTGTTGGTTGCCATCGGCAGTCTAGCCGCATGCTCATCTAGCCCCTCAGGCAAAAAAAACCAGTCATTTATAATGTTTGGCATTGTGATGCTGGGCACGACCTATATCATCATAGTGAGATCAGTCCAGGACTACTATCACAATAGACTGCCTTTGAATATGCCTGAGTCCGATTGCGTTCTAGCTCCCAAACTATGTGCTGCATGTGTACACTCCGCCTATGGTTAGTCTACTCCAGAACAACGCCTGGAGAGGTTCATTGGGGGCATGATGTCCCCCCACCCCATTCCCCCCTTGCCCCCTGCACCTGAAGTACCGGTATTGCCCCCCCCCCCCCTCCCCAAACAAATTACAGGACACAGATGGAGCACTGGGGAGCACGTAGCAGTAGGCAAAGTTGACGATGCCAGTGCAGACACGCCTGATCTCGGTCACCACACTGGCACCGTATAGTCTCCAAGGGACATAGCTACCAGAGAACACACAGAATGGGAGTATATAGTGCTATCTCGGTGGATAGACAACCTCCTATACACAAAATATCTACTGATAGAGTTCTGTGTAGATCCTATGTGCACATATGTGTGGATGAGTACTGGTAAACGGACAGCTAACCCTAGTCTAAGTAAAATAAAGGTAGAATGTAGACCCTGGGCAAAAAAATAAGTAAATAAAAATATTGACTAGTTTGAGGGAAAGACACAAACGGGAAAAGTCTGAAGAAAAAATTGACTGTCACCAAAAAAATAATAATAGCTACACACACGAGGGAACTCGGATGGAGAGCCAAGGATTAAAATTGAAAAAGAGGACCATCAGTTTACGAGTTATCCGTTTTGTCCAACACTAACGGATATAAACGTGATGCAGCTAAGCATCAGGTCGTTGAATGTCATGATCTCATCAGTCAGTTTTTGTGCTAATTGTTGCACATTTTTGACTCAGCAGTATTCTGCATATAACCGTTAGTGTTGGACAAAACGGATAACTTGTAAACATGAGGGAACACTCATCCTTACCCAAGTCCCAACGTCAGCACTCGGCGCTGCTCCGAACCAAGAGAGACACTGGAGAGATCGTCCATCAGCTCCTCTCTTGTCCTGCGATCAAATCGCCTAATGCTAAACACAAGAAGATAGGAAAGGCAAGTAGAATAAATAAATCAATAAAATATTAAACAACAAAACAAGTTTGAACAGCTGCAAACGTAATGGACGATTCGAACAAGACCAGTGATATACCTAGCAATAAGTGTGCAGAGTGTGCAGCCCAAGGATAATCATCCCACGGCAAAGTTTATTGTTTAGGGCATAGACTCGCAGTAACAGGCTCACCTTTGCTGCATCTCACACCGCTTCACACGGTAATCTACTGTATCACCATGGTAATTTCTGTTGCACATTGCTGCTTGTTTAACCCTTAACAAAAGGCAGAAAACACACCGAATTTCCAGGAATTACCATGGTGATACGGTACTTTAGCTTGAACCTATTGTATGACGGGTTTTCTATGATTGATAATGACCCAGAGAGAAACTAAACCGGTATCGAATTCCAGTCAGCGACGCAATTCTTCTGAGGTGTAAAGTGACTTCAGGAATATGTTGCAGAAAACTGCGATGCATGCTGATTATTTACTGTGCCCTATTGTGCACAATATACCAGGTGTGTTACTCAGGGATGAAGTAGATGCACACACGTGCCGGGCATCACGGCACAGGTTAGGTTTGCTACTAGCCGCTGCAGTGTACTTGTGGTCCGAACTTGCACTCTACTCAACTCTGCATACGCAAAGAGTGCTGGTGCCGAAATGAACCAGAAGGGTGCTGAGTGGGACGCAACAACACTGACTCTGTCTACCCATGTACACAGATATGATAGGGTATGCGGTACCTGCTCTAAGATTTAACACAAACCGGGTACACGTCTACCTGGCACAATTCCTGCAACACTGGGCCAGAGCCAGATGCGTTCAAGTGCGGCTACTGTGTGTCAGGGAGTCGTAAACTTACTTTCGACTTCCTGATGTACATGATTGTACATGTACATGTATGAACGTACTCGCACTGGGCACTCTGGCCGCACGCATCTGCACGCGTATGCAGCCTTTCAGTGGCGGTATACCCTCGAAGTATAAAAAAGTATAGTACTCGACAGGACTTCCGACCGGGTCACAGGTAACCCAGTGTTCTTTTTCCAAAAGGTCCAAGTACTCACAAACAGGGCCACTGACCCGGCTCTGGAGCAGACACTGGTAATCTAGGTCCAAGTTTGCTCGATTATGTTCTGACGCTTCATGTGCTTTCATAGCCAAGGTTTCTCACTTTCTTCGCAAGCTCTTTTAGTCTTGAGAGTTGACAACTGCTTATGGTTGTGTTGGCAGAAAACATGTCAGCTAATCTGACAACCGTCCAACCCCATTTTACTGGTAAGTAGTCAGCGAGTGGCTTTGATGGGGCCATACAGTACTAGAGGGGAAGTTACGCGGCATATTTGTGCTTCCTTTTTGAAAACACGTTCTCGCTCGAAGGGTTTCTAAACTTTATCCCTGCGCTCATTGATGGAGTTCATCGATGGAGTTGCCAGCGGCACTCTACAGAAGAACAATGTTGTCAAGTTTTTTATGAAAAATTGTCAAACATTTTCAAATTGCTTTAAGTTTGGTTAGGGCCGGGTTCCACTGCGGCTCCGCAGCTCCGCTGCTCCACGGTACTTGGCTGCATGCAGCAGAGCGGCGCGGTTCCAGTGACACTCGCCATTCACGGTACCGCGATCGTGCTCGACGTTTTTTTATGACATTTAGCCTGCCTGCGCGCGCGTGAAATCCAAAAAAATCCTCGTGTTCTGGCCTGTGCAACGAATTAAAATTCCCCCGAATAAAACAATTAAGTGCGGGAAACAATGCAAGCCGTGACCGCGGCTTGCATTTTTTTGTATCAAGCAGCGAAGCGAAAGCTGGTGATGAGCCGCGGCCTCGCTGGACCAGCTCGTAATGATGACGTTTCATGCCGTGGATGATGTGCGGCGGAGCGGCAGTGGAACCCAGCCCTTAGGCAAAGGAAATTTGTCATTAATTTGTTTATGCTGCATAGATGGAGAGCTGCACACTCTGGCTTATGGACTCTTGCCTACAGTGTAGTCGTACTGCTAGTGTACTGGCATTACAGAAGACACGAAAAACGAGAACATAATTATGGCGAGAAAGTAATTACTGGCTAAGAATTGCCCTAAGACTTACCGCGTCTCAGTGCTCCATACCAGGAAGTAGTACAATACCTACTCCCTGCTCCATACGAGTGTTTTCTCCTCATTCTCTGCATCCTTTACCCCAGGAGTCTCGTCCATTTAGCGGCTCAAATGCTTGAGCTCCGGATAGCGGAAAATAGCTCGTCGTCCATTAGCGGCTCTAATAGTACCTGGTCTGAAGTGTCGCAGTCTAGCACAACTATGATTTTTTTCCAGGAGGGTAAGGGTTGCAAACCCAAAGAGACCCTAAGCTTCGTCTATCAAACAAAACAATTGCCCTAAAAAATGGAAGAGGAAAAGAGTGAGCGAGCTGGTCTGAGCGCGCTACTTTTCAAAAAATAGAAGCTGAAAGCCATCAAAGTCAAAGCATTCTGGCTAGCGCGTTTGTGTATGTCACGAGCGCTAGCGCGCTAGTCGCAGCAAACGCTCGCAGGCCAGAGTTAGCGCTATTTGGGCTGTTTGCCGCACGCGGCAGCTGGATGGATCACGTGATCCAAGCTGACAAATAAGGTCCGATGGTTCAGCTACATTGAGCCACAAGCTTTCGAAAAATCAACTTCTTGTCGCAGGTAAACAGCGACTCGCCTCTCGCCAATAAAGCACCGTATACCAATCAAAACTAATGGAAGCACACACAAGGCTTATTGTTACTCTGTACTGGCCGTCGTGGAGCGATAGCAATTACCTAATTTCAGACCCAGAGTGAATTGGACGTGCACTCTAAAACGTGTCCGGTTTGGAGCCACCTCTGATTTGAACTTTTTGAAGCGAAAAATTGGGCAACTTGGAGGCAATGGGTCGACACAAAGGAGTGGCTCAGTTCGATTGACTCTGGCCCCAGAGCAAACTTCAACATGCCAGTTTCCTTCCACAAACATATTTCGAGTGAAAAAACAACGCTGATGATCGGTTTGGGTCTATACAAATTTGGCTGTCAAAGCGTCCCAGTATCGAGCCGTCCCCTCTACCCGAAGTAAGTTCTAGTTAATTCTGCCTCTGGCTGATCATGAGTCATGCCGACCGCATCTACACGTCCACCAAGTTAGGCACCAACAGGCCCAGCATCGTCATCTTCTAAAACTGCGCTTTCAAAAACTTTTGATTTCTGCTTTGAACGCCAGCTTGTTTGTTGCATGCACATCATGATGTCTTTGTACTGTAGTAGAGACGGGACATTGTTAAAGGGGAAGTATACCCTAAAATCAAATTTTCACCAGTTGTAGTCTTCGGGGTGCTGAGTCGAATGGTCTTGGTCCGAGGAAGCTGCGACGCTCCCTTCCTACTTGAATCCCAATCGAACTCGCGCACTTCCACCGAAACTGGGTGACTGCGCCCTACTAGATGGGGATTTGTATGCAAAATGTCACTAAAAGCGCCATTTCGTTCTTATAAGAGCACGGATGACCGCGATTGGCCCATATGTTGTAGTCTTTTGGACGCTGAGTCGACTGGTTTTGGTCCGAAAAGGCTGCGATGCAGCGTTCCTCCTTTATTCCCAATCGAACATGGTTGAAGAAGCAGTCACGTGCTCCTGGGTGCCCAAATCACCTGGTCACCGCGCCAGCAGGCGACAACTTTCACACCAAGGTTCAACTCGAGTTCAACTCGAGTGACAGGACTGCACCCAAAAAAGGTCAAACAGGCTAGTAAGTTGTACCCTGCAGGCACGGTGACCAGGTGACTGGTGTACGCAGGAGCACGTGACCGCTTGTTCAACCATGTTCGATTGGGAATAAAGGAGGAACGCTGCATCGCAGCCTTTTCGGACCAAAACCAGTCGACTCAGCGTCCAAAAGACTACAACATATGGGCCAATCGCGGTCATCCGTGCTTTTATAAGAACGAAATGGCGCTTTTAGTGACATTTTGCATACAAATCCCCATCTAGTAGGGCGCAGTCACCCAGTTTCGGTGGAAGTGCGCGAGTTCGATTGGGATTCAAGTAGGAAGGGAGCGTCTCAGCTTCCTCGGACCAAGACCATTCGACTCAGCACCCCGAAGACTACAACTGGTGAAAGTTTGATTTTAGGGTATACTTCCCCTTTAATGCTAATATAGGGACTTGCTATGGCAGATTCGTCTCCTGCTATATCGAACTCCGACTCGGACGAGGGCTGTAAACCGGGCTGTGTATTTTGTCGTGTCGCCCGTGGCCAGGACGAGAAGACTGAACTCCTTTTCCAGGTATTGTCTTTTGAGAATCTTTTCAAACGTTGATGAACTCTAGCCTCGAGGTTATGTTATTGTTATTATTATTGTTACTACTAGTTCTTTAATAAGGTTGTTCAATCCCTAGCAGCAGATATCCTTATTTATGTTATTACCTTGTTTTCGAAGCACGTATCTCCTTTTTATGTGGCTTGTTTCATCTGTCCATCATATTCGTAAAAAACATAATTAATGAATGTTGTACACAACTACATGATTGCCTTCAATCACAACAATCCTGTTCAGATGCAGTGTTTTAATACAAAACAATCTTAGTACATGTACTCGGTATTAGTAGAAGAACTACGGTATGAGGATGTTGTTTGTAAGGAGCCTGAAGCTTGATCGTTTCCGATGATGCGTTTTTAATGGTAATCTTCTGTTTATATCTGGGTTGAACGTCATCGGAAAAAAAAGAAAGACATGAGCCCAGGCTTTTACTGTTCAGGCGTGAGAGTACTGGTGTATGGCAAATGCCAAGTGTTTCGCAACGCCGGTCGCGTCGAAGAAGTTGACTTGCGCTGAACTTATTTCGCCTACCGCGCGGGAGTCACGCTAGTTTCCCGTGCGCGTACTGAAGTATGAACCGGAGCTGAGAGCTTGACCTATTGGCAGGAGTCCTGGAAAGACTTCTGCTTGCATAGGTTTGGTTTTCCTTTGCGAATGTAGACTGTAAGGCAGCATCCGAAACATTTAGCTACTGAGCACTATGAGTACCTTCACGTGACAGAATTACAAGCAAAAACAGTACGATTTCACGCCCAGACTGTTAGGTAGGACAACCAAACTTAACACTGTTAGTGTAGTTTGGTTGAGTTGCCGTCTATTGTCATCGTCATCGCAATGCATATTGCGCTGCTCACACCTCTTCACACGTCGACCACTTGTGCGTAACTGTAGGTTTTGCTGTTTTCGATAGACGGACAGTGTCACCTACATTTCTTATTTATGTGTGCATGTGACAACGGATCTTATTTGAATTTAATTTAAGAACTCGTTTTTTTATGGGAGGGAATACGGTTGTTATACTATGCTGAGAGACTGGAATGCCTTTAGAGAAGTAGCAAAGTGCGACATACATAGGATAGTGTGAGAGAGCCACGACGGCCTACACATGTGAATAACGCGGTGCATAAGCAAATACACCAGTCGTGGTTCTCTGCCTTTTGTTCTACGAGTAACGCATTCACCATGTCGCTCTCTCGTCTTCTTTTTTTTCCCTGTTCTGTGCAGGATGAGCAATTTGTGGTGTTCCGTGACATCCGGCCAGCGTCCAGCCATCACTATCTAGTGGTACCGCTCAATCACCGTGGCAACGTCAAGTTCATGGAACCGAGCCAGGACAACTTCAAGTTTGGTGAGCGCTGTCAAAACGGGTGTAACTCTGCGAGAAGCGTTAGATGCTTTGGTACCACCTCTTTCCAGTCGTGCTTTTGTAGCAGTGTTTTTTGTTTTACAGTTTCCTCTGAGACAAAAATGCGATAATACTCATAAAAAGGACACACTTCAGGCTCATTACAAACATCTTGAAAGTTTTTGTCTTCACAAGTATACTTTCAAGCCTTCTCATCAGGTGAAATACAGGCAAGGGAAAAGGAACAGGAACAGTGGATTAAATACAGTAAGAAGGTGGTAAAACAGCGCAAAAAGAAAGAAAGAAAGAAAGAAGATAGCTAAAGTAAACAGCGAAAATTGCAATAATGACACAAAGGTGCAAATGCGAGAAAACTCAATAAGCGCGACATGTAGTGCGACAACAAGAGACAACCACTGGACATACATGTAACTAACGAGGTTTTGACGACCTACCTAACAGCCTAAGTGTGAATTTGATTTGTTTCTGCTTGCAAAGGTTGGGTTTCCTTGTGTGAATGTATACAGCTTCCAAAACATTCAGCAATCTAGCACTGCGTACACGTGACACAATCGAAAAACAATCATCCGAATACACAGCACGACAATCAGGATGCTCAAACAAATGACTAGCAATGGACGACTCATACTTATCAGAACTAACATCAGAACAAACAGCATGTGCGGTGGACACATCCGATTTCACATGGCTAGTCGAGTGGACCCTAGCCGTTGCCTCTGTCTGTGCTTTAGTCGCTGCCATCGCCGCCGTTGCCGATCTTGTTATTCTTCTGGTTGATGCGGTTCCTGTCACTGCCACGCACGTAGGTGTCTTGTCCGGTTGTTTTTCTGGTGGTCTAGTTAATTGTGAGGTGACGTTCCTTGGTGTTGATGCCGCTGCGTTGGACCATCTTGTACCAGGATGATTCTTTGCTGGACGTCCCCTCCGTGGTCGAGTGGATCGTGCGTGTTGTGGAATAAGGTGTAGCGGTGCGTTGAAAGTATACTTGTGAAGACAAAAACTTTCAAGATGTTTGTAATGAGCCTGAAGTGTGTCCGTTTTTTGTTTTGTTTAAAATAAGACCAATATCGTCTTTTGCATCAGACCATACTGTTTTCATTCAAATCTGTTTACAGCAGTCACTATCGGGTAACGGGAGGGGGACCAAAAAGACAGCAAGCTATCTACATGACTGTAGTTGAACTTGGATGTTGAGCCAACTGGATTCATGCATAAGAGGAAGGGAAAACAATTTACGACTTACGACTTACGGTCCACCAATGACTATGTAACCAGTTAGTATAGCCAGATAGTATACTAGCATGGTGCTGAACTGATAGGGGTAGCTTTGTAGCTTTGTAGCTTTTTTTTCTTTTTTTGTATATGTGATGGAGCGCCAATATTTTAGAACGGCCTGCTGTTCCTGATTTCTGCAAGGATGGCATGAAGAAAATATTTACCAGCACGAAACCAACCAGAGGACTCTGTGCCATCGTATGCTCCTCTTGACTGGATTACACAGAACGGATATATATATGGTGTCATTTGATTTATGTGTTTGGCAGAGCATTCTATTTCCGGCATATGCGAATATGTGGGTTGCCATTGTGCGGCTGACATTGCCGCGGAAATGCATATAATAATAATACGAAACCAAACTTTTTTTTTAAAAGTAGTTACTTCAGCAGCCACAGTGGTCCGTGAACATTTTATTTTGTCCTCGCAAACCAGCTGGTTGTGAAGATTCGCGAAATGTTATTGGCGTGAATACTGGGCAGCACAACTATTCGCAATTTCCATGTCATGGTATTTGCGAAGAGATGGGACAGTTCGATCCAATTGATGGGTGGCAGTCATGATCCAGTTACAATAGGCATTCTTTGTTGCCCTGGGACTTGGTTTGTGTCCATTTTCTTCATTGCGCTTACCTTACCTTCCCCTCTCCGGACCTGTTTTCCCTTATCTTGAACTTTCTAGATTGGAAGGATTTTGGTTTGCACATTGGCAATGTGTTGGAGATAGGTGTCGGATCGTTGGTGTGTCTCAGTGTTCTCGTTCAAGTGTGTGTCTAGTTGTCACACTAGCTGACTGTAGATCTTCTGGTCGTGTACCTGCAGAACTATCTGAAAGGGCCAATTGACTCTTGTACATGAGTTCTGACTAATCATTTAGATTAGGGCCAAGCAGCCGGGCACTGTTTTCCATTGGCATGCACATGCGTACCAACCCGACAACATTGTGTGGTTTGTCTTTTTTTTTTCGGTGGCCAATTTTCTCTACTTCTACTTGGAGCGTGAGCATTTTCTTAGTGTCATTTTATTGATGGGTGTGTTTGTGTTTGTGTGTGTGTGTGTGTGTGTGTGTGTGTGTGTGTGTGTGTGTGTGTGTGTCTATGTGTTTGTTTTGTGTACTGTGACATTGTGCTGTAGTTCAGTCCATGGTGTCAATTGGTCAGAGAGTGCTGGAGGAGAGAGGTGCGGATGTGACTTCAGCCAGGTGAGCTGAACAATGGCTGTCCTTTTGCTCTGGGTACTGTGGGCCTTCAAGAATGTGTCACTGCATACTTGTGTTTTGACATACCGGTAATTACTGATAACGTCCCACCTGGAAAGGTACTAGGCACACCTGGTGGTACATACTGTAATGTCGTGTATAAAAGCTGCGGCTTCTATGACTTTCTTGGGGAATTTTTGCAGGCTAGTTCTATATGAGACAGGCTTCTATACAAGACAGGTATTTCTATGTATGTCAACACTAAAACCAGGCTTATGTGCCGACAGTGTATCTTGAAAAATCAGGCTTGTATATGAGACAAGCTTTCATACAAGACATTACTGTACAAATCCGTTGATCCCCGAGCTGCAGAGGGTGCTCAATGTCAGAGACAGAGCTTAGTACATTGCTATATTATGTATACAGTGCCTCTAACACAGGGGAGAGGGTTCACTTCTCAGATATATTCGGCCATTGGTCTCGTCTACTTCCTGTTGGGCATGAACAACAACAGCTTTGGTGGTGGTTTTGATAGAACGTGCTTTGCTTTGCAGTTTGCGCTGGGTTGTGCCATGCTTCGTTGTGCCATGTAACGCTAGTACAGCACTAGTACAATGAGCTGAGAATACGATAGTAGACATAGAGCGAAGGCCTGTTCCGTGTGGCCGTGGTGAAACGTATGTGTTGTTGACGTTGTGCTGCTGCCATCATCAGTGCGTCTCATAGTTTCGTCTTTGTGACCACATTGTGCCGACGTTGTCAAGGCTATTCTTCTGTTGGTTGTTTCTTGTGACCTGCGTGCATGCGTGCATGCAGCATTCAAGAATAGTTGTGCTTGGCAGAATGTGCGCGCGCGTGTGTGTGTGTGTGTGTGTGTTTGGCAAGTCTTGTTGGCTGTCTTGGCCGTTCTATGCCGATGTACTCGTGTGATGTAGACCAGGTGTGCAGTGGTGGTCGATTCACATGGCTTCGCAGGTTGTGTGGATTGGGCAGTTATCTGGCGCTAGCCTTGATCTGTCTCATTCAGATCTTGTCCGCTATCGTTGCTCTAGGCGAAAATCTGCAGGTGCACATCCAGTGCATTTGCAGATTTGCATGCTTCTCTTGTGACGGCGTATTCATGGTACATGGTTCATGGTGTGTGCTTATGCTTATGCCCCTTGATTCTGACAATGAGTCATTTACTTCTGACCGGGATGCTTGTTTGTTCTCTGTGTTGCTGGCACATACAGTATGCCTGGTTGCACACAGCTTTCACCTCTCACTGTATCCCCCCATGCATGGTCACCACTATCATTCTTATCTTGATGCTACGTGTCGTGTGCTCTGGGCAGATTCGGCTTTCACTGGGCACCGTTTCATACCATTGAGCACCTGCATCTTCACGTCATCGCACCTGTTACCGAAATGGGCTTCATAGCCAGAACAGTATTCAGGCCAAACTCGTATTGGTTCGTGACGGTGAGTGGGAACGTGCAGCTTTGCACACTGGGCGTAGGACATCGCCACTACTGTTTTTTTTTTTTCGTTTTTTTTACTTGGCTCCACGAGCCATCAAATGCAGTACAGCAGGCCAAAGATAGCGGGCCAAAGATAGTGGGCAGTGGCATATTGAATGTAGTGGGGGAGAGGCAGGTCTCACTAATTCTGCTGCCATTGTGACGTTGCTGTGACGCAGCGCTTGCGGTTGCAGGGAAAGGGGGATCTGTGGAGTGAGAAATCCCTGTGGCGTTGTGTGATGGAGAGAATGGGCTGGAATGAATGAGTAGCTAACCACCTGTGTACGTTAGCTGGTTGATAGTATGTCGAACGGACACGTGTAGTGCACTCTCCGTTGGGAGGGTTGCTCTGGAGCAGCTTTACTGTGATGTGTGCGGATGATCGTAGCAGATGACACTCCTGAGTTCTGTCTTTACCGTGATATGTGCTCATGATTGTCACAAACAATACACCTGAGGTTTGTCTGTTCACTGCACGATGCTGACGCTTTGTGGTCTGTTTGATGGGTTCCTTTCATTGTATTAGAGTGAATGGGTGGAAGAGAGACTGACACCACCACCACAACAATCATGACGTCCATTCAAGCTGTGAAGTTTGCCTACCTTAAGGAGCACAGTATACTCGCTTGCCTCATGGGCACCTACCTGCACTCACGAATCTACAGCTGGTCCAGCCTGGATGCATTATCAAACTCCACACTGCGCTCTTGACCCAACCAGGCCGACTTGGATCCCAGCCTAGTTTCAGTCAGATTTAGATTTGTACATTTCTAGCTGCCAATACTTCAGCCGCCATTTTAGTTTCTATTGCCCCTTGCTTTGAACCGGGCTGGCCCGCATCAACCCATGATACTGCTGTCATGTTATGGCTATGCATGCATGTTATGAATTTCTAAAACTCGTGTACATACCGAGCTCTTGATGTTCCCGTTGAAGACCCGGTAGCTGAACATATTTGCATACCTCA